GAGATAAAGAAGACAATATTGTTATATTTTCCTCGAAAATTCTGTAAACAGTTTGAAAGAAGAATTCAGAGAACTCACACCTCAACCTCTTGTGTGCCTAACTTCATCTAAGGGGTGTGTGCAAACACATACACACGGACTCAGAAACACACGGAGACAGACACACACAGACACACATAGAAACACACAAACACACATACATAGACACACACAAACACATAGAAACACACACAAACATAGACACACACGCACACACAATCACACATTTCATAAGATTTAAGAGCATTTTTGAGGCAGTGGTGAGTGTGTCTTACAGAATAAGCTAGACTAACTTGTTACTGAATAGCTGTCTTAATTGTATTACATTGATGTTGTGATTGAGTGAGTGAGTGTGATTTCAGCAGACTGCAGGTTTTACAAACCTGATAAGCAATGTCCTGCTTTGTTGTGACGAACAATAAAAACAAACAATGTTCGCTGGTGCACCAACACAACAAAAAGACAAAACGGAACAGATCAATAGAGTTATGTAGTGTAGCTAATTATAATATGGCAAAATAAAATACAACGGTAACTAGAGAAACGCCTATTTGAAATTCTCTCTTCTTTGGGGTAACGTTTTAACGTTATCAAGACTGATACAAAGATAGGAAGACAGAAAAAGGATGTGTCACACTAGTCACTACAGGTTACTGTCCATGTGTTCCCACCAATTCCCTCCAACAACTTGACACATCATAATATAACTAAGACATACTACAAAATAGACAGCTTATAACATTATACTGACATGACAAGAAGGGGGGCAGGGGATTCAAATCTTCATCGACCTTCGCCCAATACTATAAAGTGCACCAGGGTAGTAAGGCTGGTTGTTTATGCTACGTTGAACACTGGCCTGAGTCTTCTATAGAGTAAAGAATTGCGCTCCATAATGTAAAATTATCATTTACTCGCAAGGCTGTGAATCATATACCCTTGGTTATACTCGTCGTAGGTCGTCGTAAGATTTAGCCATTTTTTCGAACGTTGCGGAGCAAAAATTCGGATGGTACCCAGACTACGTATGATTTCCACGGCGGGGAAAACTGGCTGTGACAGTACCAACCATGGACAAGGATCTAGGACAGGCTTTTCTAGAATAACAAGGCAGAATGTCTATTCAACAAGTAAACCTTCTACAAAGTTCGCAAAAAAAGAGTACATCCCTGCTGCATAATGATACTCTCAAGTGGTCAATTATCCCAATAAAGGACCACCCATGATTATTAGTCACCCTTTTTTGACGTTACTAATATAGTACTAGGACTTCTGACAGGTCAACATAATTTGATTACATGAAAAAAAATACATTATGTATATCAGTCAACGACGATATTTTGTTTTATTGGACAACATTTATTTATCCATGTAACTCCATTTATCTAATAGTAAAACCCCACTTGTACTGATGCATGGAATCATTACATCGTTCAGTTTTCTTGTGGATTAAATATTTAATTCTTTACCCCACAGTAAGCACAAATACTTATGAAGAAGGATTATGGCTTTATGAGGATTCTAGTCCCCGTAAAAATCGAATAAGGCCACAGCAAGTAAATTTTATGGATGGCATCCTCCGCAGACTCCAAATCTAATGCGAGCTGGCGAAAAAAAAAACAAGGTTCCTACATTTTAAAGTTTTGACTGAATCATTGTACAAATGGTTTTGATTCAGTAGGAACATCATATACACTACATATCACTGCATCAAAGTAAGAAACAAAACATTAAGTCAGAGACTTTCCTTGTCTTCTCTCTTTATAGTTATCTGTCATCCACCTTTCAGCATGGCAACAGGCATCTTTGCCCATTTTCGGCATGGTGACCACTGTCAGAAGGCAACAAAATTCCTTGTTTTTGTTTTCCAAAATAAGTCGCAAAATTAATGCGCGTGCTGATGTCATCCATAAAAATTACTTGCTGTGGCCTAAGCTGCAATCAGACGTCCATCCTTTAACCCACTTCCAATTAACCTCGGTGTCACCCCATGATAAGGTGCACTGATCTCAAATACTAGTCAACTAGAGGCGGGCGTTGTTTTAATGGGGCGTGTCATCTCGTCCGGTTCGATTTGCGTCCGATTGCTCTGTGTAAGGCCACAGCAAGTCATTTGTTATGGGTGACATCAGCGCGCGCATTGATTTTTGCCAGATTTTGGAGAAAAAAAAAACAAGAAATTTTGTTGCCTCCTGACAGTGGTCAACATGCCGAAAATGGGCAAAGATGTCTGTTGCCATGCCGGAAGGTGGATGGCAGATAACTGTGAAGAGATGAGACCATAAAAGGCTCTGATTTAATGTTTTGTTTCTTACTTATTTTGAATCAGTGGTATGTGATGTTGGCTGTGTATATGTGGTGTTCCCACTGAATCAAAACCATTTGTACAATGATTGAGTCAAAGTTTTAAAATGTAGGAATCTTGTTTTTTCGGCCTGCCTTGTTTTTTTCGCCCGCTCGCATTAGATTTGTGGAGGATGTCATTCATGAAATTTACTTACTGTGGCCTAAGGGGATGTCAGATATGACGGAGGACCGCCTCTT